GTGAAAATCTCGATATAAAATTAAATAAATTCACAATTTCATGCCGTATTTATAGTGTAATCTGGGGTTAATTGGTGTATGGCCATGGGTTCTTTACCTGTTTATCAAAGTTTCGGTTCATTGCAGAGGAATTTGGCGACTGTCCTGTGGGGTTCTTAATAATAATAATTATAATAATAATTACTTTATTTCAAAAGGGTTGAAAATAAGGCCAATGACCTTTCTTACATTTTGCCCTTTAAACAACGAGAACATATGTACATTAATAAGATAGAAAAGAGATAGAAATTTATACATTAAAAATACATATATTTCTTGCTATAATGGTTCTTGTAATACTTTTCGATTTTAGAAAGGCTTTCGATCTCGTTAACCACAATATTCTCTTAGATAAATGTAATTTGTACCAACTTTCAGTCAATACTATTAATTTCATTAGCTCTTATTTACATCAACGGTGCCAGAGTACATTTGCTAATGGAAACACATCTACGTTTCAGACCGTCATACATGGAATCCAACAGGGGTCCATCCTAGGGACTACTATACTACTACTACTACTTCTTGGTGTTTAACGTCTGCTTCCACATAAGTGATGTCGCAGACAAGACATAGGAGAGCCGAAGCTGATTCCTGTTTTTAGAATATGATTTTGCAATCTTTCCATTTGGCCTTAGGCCATGGATTTGGTTTAGTGGGAAGTTCTTTATTTAATATAAAACATATCGTTTGGTAGATGATCTCGTCTGCTTCAGGATTGGTAGATGTCGTCGTTTGAGGTTAGTGTTTAGGTGCCAGGCCCGTCTTATCGAGGCCTCCCCTTACTCCACTATCCCCCTCTCTGAGTTTGGTGTCAGTTGTATTTGCGGAATAGTGTTTAGGTGCCGAGTTCGTCTGACCGTAACTCCCCCTTACTCCACTATCCTGCTAGTTTGGTAGATGTCATCTTTGTGGGGTTTGTGTTTAGGTGCCAGGCCCGTCTTATCGTTACCTCCCCTTACTCCACTATCCCACTCTGTAGGTTTGGTGTCTGTTTTTGGCGGAATAGTGTTTAGATGCCGAGTCCGTCTGGTCGTGACTCCCCCTTACTCCACTATCCTGCCAGTTTGGTATAAATCCCCTATGTAGTTTAGTGTTTAGATGCCGGGCCCGTCTGGTCGTGACCCCCTCTTACTTCACTACTCTACTTAGTCCAACTGTGTCCATTAGGGCGTGGATTTGTTCGAAGATTTGCAGTTTCAGATCTGGTCTCGGGAAGAGTAGATTCTTAGTGTTGAATGGTATGTTGTTGGTCTCCATTTTTTTCACTAGTTCCCTTCTCTCCTCCTTGTATACCTCGCAGTCTACCAGGACATGGTTGGTGGTATATTCTTCTCCGCACTCACAGATGATGACTTGGTGTTTGTAGTCTCGCAGCCGCTCTTTCACCCTTAGCTTCGATATCACTCGGCAAACCTCGGCAGATTCCGGTACACTAGATCTAGCCTCGGCTGTATGACAGTAAGTGATATGTACCTAGGCCTTTACATTTGCGATGCGGCACCGGTTTACTTATAAGGGAAACTTGCACGCGTTTAGAAAGAAGTTCTCAAAATTGCGTCGTTCGAAGAGTTTGTAGAATTTTCAGTGCAAATTTGTCCTTGTCTAAAGAAAATCGGATAAACTTGAAAGAAAAAAAGCTTCAAACTTTAAAAATTTTGTAAGATAAAACATTCTTCAAATACGTCGTCATCAATCACGTCATTGGTCGTCATGGTCAACGCCATTGTAATCCGGGAACTTGAAAGTAGTTCTAATGTCGGACTTTGTCATACAGCCGAGATTAGATGTAGGGTACTGGAATCTGTTGAGGTTTGCCGAGTGCTTCGATATAAGTCTACAAATATCTCTTCTAGGGTGATTGAGTGTTGTCTTCGTGTAGATCTTGTCATCCAGCTGGAATCTGTATGTGTCAAGTTCAACGAGATTTAATTCCCAGATTGAATTGACCTGTCTTTTGACCATACTGTAGATTTCCGTGGTGCTGTAGGTGCGGAGTGGTGTTGTGTCCTTGAGACCTTCATTGGCTAGTCGATCTGGCTCCTCATTTCCTCTAATGTTGACATGTGATGGAATCCACACGAGTTCTACTTTGCTTCCCTTCTCTAACACCCTCTGGTACAGCTGCCTGATTTCCAAAATGACTTCTGGTCTTGAGTCCGAGTTGTCATTTTGGATTGAAATCAGACTGCTCAGAGAGTCGCTTGGAATGACGAACTTACTAGTCTTTTGATGGGAAATCCATGATATTGCGTCACGAATGGCCACAAGCTCTGCAGTGTACACCGAACAGTTATTGGGCAGGGCCTTTACCGTTCAACATTTTTATAAATGATCTTCCCCTCCACCTCAAAGCCTCCTGTGACCTATTTGCCGATGACATCACGGTTTATACTGCTGCAAATAACATGTCTGACCTTCAATTTAAATTACAACTAGATACCGATTCCCTATTCGAATGGTGCCAAATTAACCTAATGCTTGCAAATGAACAAAAAACTAAATGTATGGTGATAGGGAGAGAGAGAGAAATGGGGTTTAACGTCCACTTGACACAAACTAGGTCATTTCGGGACTAACATATGGTTTAATTTTATTTCAATAATTCGCTTGCGCGTAGGGGTCTTTAGCAGTGGGAAAACCGGAGGACCCGGAGAAAACCCACGAGGTTGGACAGGCGACCCTACTCCTTGTCACGTACAACCGGGGATTCGAAACCACGCCAGTTGACTCAATGACATAAATGTATGGTAATTACTACTAAACGGAAAAGAAAACATATTCAGCCTAACCTGTCAATAATTATCAATAATTCTATTATAGAAAATGTCTCAAACTTCAAACTACTAGGCGTAATCATTGATAACCATCTTCAGTGGAATGAACATGTAAAATATGTTTCAAAAATCATTAACCAAATATTATTTTAACTTCGCAAATTAAAACAACTTCTACCTATTAAATTTCGGTCTATGTTTTACAAATCAAATATTCAACCCCCTTTTGATTACTGTTCACCTATATGGGACAGCTCTGATAAACATTTTTCAGACTTACTTCAACACCAGCAAAATTGAGCTCTTAAACTTATTCTTGATGTTCGACACACTGCCGAAATTTCTCATGCAGCGAATAATAACAATATAAATGTTTTAAATGTGGAAAACAGGCAACTGTTAAATAAATACATGTTCTTGCACAAAATTATAAACCAGCAATGCCTAAACTACCTCGCTATTCCACCCCATACTCTAACATTAAAAAACGACTGATTGTATTAAGACCTGGGGCCTAATCTTAGTGTGGTCAAAAATAGTATTAAATTCTGTGGATCACGCCTATGGAACACATTACCATGTTTTCTCAAACACTTGAAATCCGGCAACGCCTTCCGAGCCCAACTAATTAAATATCTAAATGAAAATTAATTACTGTCTTTTACTCGATTTGATTAACCTTATATTCATACAATCTATAAATATTGTTGCATGTATTAATTATGTATTAATTGCCACAGTCAATCTTCTTTAAATCCATGTTGCACCTTTTATGTGACAAAAATGTACATCGGTAAATACATGTTCAACTTGGGTTTTTGTGGGTTTTTTTGTTTTTTATTCTTGTTTTTTTTTGTTTTTGTTGTTTATATATATATATAATGTATACATATAGTTTTAATGTATAAATTTCTATCTCTTTTCTATCTTATTAATGTACATAATATGTTCTCATTGTTTAAACCCTTTTGAAATAAAGTAATTATTATTCTAGCCTGCTTGTTAATTATTGTTCATGTTAAGTACGGTCCTCTGGCTCTATTTTAAGCATTGCCCCTTTTTTTAAATATTATTTTAACTTTTTGATTGCTTTATTTTGAAAATATTAATCCATATTTTTTTAAACTCCGGCTCCGGCTATTTCAGCTAATTAATACGGTGTAGGGGAGGTAACACTATTTTGTAGTTATCTCCCTTTATAACTAAAAATTTCATGTTCTACATTGATTCTTCCGCTTTATTCGCAGACCAAAGATATTCAAAACCTATAACTATTAATTTTCAATCATTTTATTATAAACTTATGGACACAATGTTGTCTGCAGCCTTCTTTTTATGAACTAAAAAATTAGCACCTGTTCACGCTCGGGAAATCAATAACTGGTCCTCATAGATGCTTTACGTCACTTCCCATACAACGATAGTCTTGGGGTGCAAGTCGCGAAAAACCTTTATCCATACATAGTTTGATAATCGAGTCTACCGATCTAAACAAATTACAGACCAAGATAGGTAATTATAGTACTTTACGGGTGAATTTGGGACAAACTTGTTTTGACAGCTGAAGGACAACGTTACGTAGAATGTATTCAAAGGTTATTTGAAGAAATGTGTTATAAAATTTTGAAAGAGTATTAGTTTAAAATCAAATAATACAAAATTTGTAGTGACAGATAGAGAAAATAGAAATTTCAGTGTTCAGTTCTATTTCGATTGAGTGATTTACAGCAGCCGAAATACATGTATTTAGCTCTCTCACTATATTATTTATTTTAGAGTTAAGGTCTGATTAATTCATTCATTAGAATTCCGAGGCTGAGCCGGTCTGCATTTCAAAACTTATCTTCAAGCCATCAGCAGCTATTTATAGGTGAGTAGTTTTATATATATCGGTGGAATACCTGTTTTGTTTTTTTGACATTAAGAATCAAATGTTATATAATTTATAAATAATATATAATATTTATACATTACAGAAATTTATGTAATAATAGTAAATAGGCAACAATTGCCTATATCATAACAATTTCCAATATCAAAATATTAAAATCTTTTTAGATCTACTCATCAAGGAATATCAATTTGAATGAATTATTTTTATTTTAGTTTTCCTTATGAAAATATATTATACGGCAAGTTACATGTAGATTACATAACATACATGTATAGGCCTAAATGCTATATTGGTACATGTAATGTAGCTAGGCATGATCGATATTACTATTAGTCAGTTGCAACGACATGATGACAGTTTAAAGGGCCCACTGTACTGTCATGCTCATTCAAGTTTGACAGCCTTATCTTAAAATGAAGGCTCTACCTATATATATTGACACGACAGTCTATAGCCCTTAAATCTATAAAACACACTGTGACATTGTATACGGTCATATGGACCAACATACATGTATATGAATGACACACCTTGTAGTATAGGGTAAGAAATATTTTCTGTTCTATTCAGAATCGATCTGATAAAGACCCAGAGTAAATATTAATATGAATGTGATAGGCTCTAAGGTTTTCGATCCTTTAGAATGTGTGTTTATATATATTTCACAATGTTAAGCAATGCATGAAGCAGTGATAAGATAGAAAAGATGTTGATGTTGAAAAATCACAAATAGTTTAATATAGTAGTACAAATTCTCTTGATGGCATGAAATGAAGCATTATTGTTTTGTACAAGAAAAAAGATTTTTATTTCAGGCGAAATCATAAAAGGGGTTTTGGGTTGGGTGAGTAATCTGATTCATGCTCTTAAGGTTGGATGGTTACTGAGTGGGCAGAAGCTTGTACTTTAGGGCGGTTGGATGGCTGAGTGATTTAGATGGTACGGTTTCCGAGAGGGCAGTCATATGTACTTTAGGGCGGTTGAATGGCTGAGTGATTTAGATGGTACGGTTTCCGAGAGGGCAGTCATGTACTTTAGGATGGTTGGGTGGCTGAGTGATTTTTGTGGGATGGTGTCCGAGTGGGCAAAGGCATGTACTTTAAGATGGTTGGATGACTGAGTGATTTTTGTGGGATGGTGTCCGAGTGGGCAAAGGCATGTACTTTAAGATGGTTGGATGACTGAGTGATTTTGGTGGGATGGTGTCCGAGTGGGCAAAGGCATGTGCTTTAGGACGGTTGGATAGCTGAGTGATCTAACAAATGCAATTTAGGTGGGTTTGGTGGCCGAGTGGTTTGAAGCGTGGACTTGAGCTGTTGGTTGGCCAAGTGGTGTATAGCCTGTGCATTTATGTGGCTGAGGGGTGTGACTCTTTGGTTTAGGTAGATTGGGTGGTCGATTGGTCTGAAGCGTGCATTTTAATTATTGGTTGGTCAATTAGGGTAGCATGTGCAATTGTGTGGCAGAGAGTCTGACTCTTCAATTAAAGGGTGGGTGGCCAAGTGGTCCGACTTTTGCGATTTGTGTTAGTGGCGTCTAATATTGAAAACTGCAACATGTATAGCTTGAATAGCTTGATAACGTTGAGTGAGAGAATACTCTTTGAAATGTCCCATGTTGCTTTTTCCTTAATAGTCAGCACATGAGGACTGCTCTACATGCAAACAAAACCGATAAGACATATGTCATATATACTGTAGTTTATTATTATTATTTTATCCAGTTACTAAATGTCACTCTTATGATAACGTCAAGTGAGAGAATACTCTTTGAAACGTCTCTTGTCGCTGTTTCCTTAATAGTCAGTGCAAGAGGACCGCACTACAGTGTATATGCAAACAAAACCGATAAGACGTATATGATATATATATATATATACTGCAGTTTATTATCATTACTCTATCCAGTTACTAAATGTCACTCAAAGACTATTTATAGATATTGTTATTAGTACAATGTTCATAATTTTAGTATAATAATAATTTATTCACATACATGTATAAATACACCACAAGGTTTATAAGCTTACGATTTAAAAATATTTTTCTGTTATTTAATAACAACACCTTGTAACTTACATATGTACACAAGTAACATTTTCAAGTTAATGATAAATGTACATCAAGTCAGCCTACCAGTATTTATAAATAGGATAACAATCCTCTAAAAGAAGGGGAGTGGATGGCCGAATTGTTAATGTGTGCGTTTTGTATCATAAGGTCTGTCATTGATTCAACTGGCTTTGTTTTCGATTCCACGGTTGTACGTGACAAGGAGTAGGGTCGCCTGCCCAACCTTATGGGTTTTCTCTGGGACCTCTGGTTTCCTCCCACTGTTTAAGACCCCTACGCGCAAGCAAATTATTGAAATATAATTGAACCATATGTTAGTCCCAAAATGACCTAGTTTGTGTTGAGTGGACTGTTAAACCCTCTCTCTCTCTCTTTTCTCTCTCTCTTTTTAGAGGAATTAAGTTATTGGATGTAACAACAAGCAACTTACACTTATGAACGAAAATTACTAATTTAAATAATTTATTTAGGCGACAGCGTTTCAAAGAGTACTTTCTCAACATTTTCAAGCAAGTACAGTAACAAATGCGTAGGGGAACTACGGTATACATATATAGACAAGTAATAACATCGGAAAGGAAACCATACAGGATAACAACATCAAGATCATGTAGGGGATTAGTGACGTCACTAATAATTGGTAGAAATTAACATGTGAGGGATTAATACTCCATAGTAGCCTATTTATAGTTTTATACCACCTATATGTATATTAGTTTACACCAAACTAGGGGATTAGTGACGTCACTAATAATTGGTATGAATTAACATGCGAGGGATTAATACTCATAGTAGCCTGTTTATAGTTTTATGTCTATATTAGTTTACATCAAACTGATTATAGTGTCGACAATTATAGTTATTATTATAAAAACATTAATTTATTAATTCCTGCTATATCAACCCCCGCTGGAAGTTGACGTTTAGCTCTACAAACAAACAAATAATCAAAAGTGATAATATACACTGACAATTGAAATTAGATAAGATTTAATACAATACCTTTCTGCACCAACTGGTTTAATGAAGTCAGCCATATAGAAAGAACAATAAGAGCAATCAGATCCTGTGACAACAATATCTTAAAACAATAATAAGTATTAAGTACTAATAGCAGACATGTTAAAACAAACCTACTAGTATACTCAAAATTTACATCATATTAGCCAGAGTGGCTAACTTGGTAAGACGCTGGCTCGCTAGTCTGGCGGTTGCACGTTCGATCGCTGTATTGACCAAGAAAGTTCATTGTGATTTTCCGGCGTGGTTTGACACTGTCAGTGGTGCAGAACAGAGGGCCTGATAAGGACAGCTGTCTAGTGGTTTGGATGGGACAAAAAAATGAAGTCTTGTGTAAACTTTGGTGTGCATGTTAAAGATCCCATGGCAGTTGGAATTCGATATAGGAGTAGGCCATAGTGCCGCTGCCCAAGCAAAATTTCCTCATAGCACACTGTATGGCATATGCCCGTCTTCATTAGCCCAGTCGGAGCAAAACAGTAGGACGTTAAACTCTATTTCATTTCATTTAATTTTATAGTAATATAATAGATGTGATTTAAAAAAGGGGGTCGAGTGGTCTAATCCATTCGCTTTAGATCATAAGGTCTGTCATTGAGTTAAGTGGCATGTTTTTGATCCCACGTACGTGGCAAGGAGTAGGGTCGTGTTCCTAACCTCATGGGTTTTCTCTGGGTCCTCTGGTTTTCTCCTACTACTAAAGACCCCTATATGTACGTACATGTACAAGTGAATTGTTGAAATAAATTTGTACCATATCATATGTCAGTCCTAAAATGACTTCATTTGTGTCAAGTAGATGTTAAAACCTCTCTCACTCTCTCATTTAAAGAATTATGCATCAATATTCATGATTTATTTTCATATATTATGCAGGTTTTGCTGTTAAATGTAACAGGATGAATTGATGTCGTTAAAGAAGGATGCCATCCATAACTCAGCTAAAAAACAGAAATACCAGTAACTACCATCCCAATATGACACGAAACCAGGCAATGGTCAACGGACATGTTCCAAATCAAGAAAATGGACATAACTCTGGAAAGCAGGCTGAAAGAGCAATACGCGAGGCCTACCGGAGAGAACGAAAAATGGATTCTTATTTGGCAGAAGATGAAAATTTCCCAAGTTTTGCAACCCAGTTAGGAAAGCTTGGTCTTCATCTGCGTGATATTCCTGGAGATGGGTATGTATAAGTTTTATCTATTTTGGCTGAGGGAGATCTTTGGGGCATATGTACATCTATTCTTCCTGGAATATCCAGAAGAATATTTAACTGTACTATAAAGAAATAGATAAGCTCTCTATTTTAAAGCCCCTTATTGTCGTTATTGTGGCATTTTGAATCTCTTACGAAGTACAATTTTGTGAAACTGGAATCTATAAAAGAAATATCAGTTCGAAAAAGGTTCAGTTTCGATCTGTGTTTACAAAATACCATGAAATAAAAATTTGTCAACATTCAACAAGCCAGTGTCACCTGTAAATGTTGGGTAATATCATTTTAATCTGATTGAATTTAAGCCAGGAGATTATCCACTGTTTATATTCTGATCTTGGTTCTCTTGAATGTTCAATAATAAATTTGTGTACATTTTGGTATGGATTAAGCTGTTGGAAAAATAGGTACTCTTCTCAAAATGCACAATCAGGATTTCCAAAATACATTTCAATCTATGCATTGTTTACATAAGACGTGGTAACGTAAACTGCTCCAGGCAGAATGGTGCCTTTTACTCATTTTATAACTCATGTACATAAGAAATATTTTTGATCCAGAAAGACTTCAAACACCTTTATTTATTTTTCTAATGCTTCAAAAAATGTTGTAGTAAGCCAAAAAGTTAATATTGCGAGCTAATTAACCCGCATCGACGTCATCCCTTCCAGTGATTGTAGCGGCCCTAACAATTATTCACTGCTGATCAGTGTGAATACATTTATCTAAAACGTCCATTTAATTATTATGATAGAATCATTGGCAACAATTGTTTATATGGTAAATGAAGATAAGATTAATAAATAATTGATTATTTTAATTATCAAGGTGTCCGCTTAAATACTGATGGTCATTAATTAACAATGACTTGTCTACATCTAGAATTAGTTCAACATTCATTCAATTATGACTTGAGATAAAACCATTTGACTTCATAAATATTACATTAATACTCTCGACTATTGTATATACTTCTGTTAGGTACATGTAGATGTTAGAATCAAAATAGGCCTATAGGTTCAAGATTAGGGGCTTCATTCACAAAATTTAAGAATGCAGCCTTCTCTTTGGCCTAGACGTCAAATCTGTTCTAGGAGTTCACCCCTCAATCAATGAAAACGTTGCATCATTAAAATATTTTAATTTATAAGTTTTCGTGAATAATGTGCCAGTAACAGTCCTGCACACAACCCATGATGTTCCAATTCTGAAATCATTCTGAGAAGTGGCATCAGGTGTTCCAAACAAGAGTTAGCATGTAGTTTAATCATCGTTAACCCTTTAGGGTACATGTAAATATTGACTACCCATGTTCTGTACTGGTACATCCCTTGGAACTGTTCTTTAGACCGATGTTCAAATCACCCGGGAACCACGGTGGCTAAGTGGGTAAGATGCTGGCTCGCTAGCCAGGAGGTCGTGTGTTTGATCCCTGTATTGACTGAGAAAGTTCATCGTGATTTTCTGGCGTGGTTTCCCATTGTCAGTGGTGCAGGACAGAGGGCCTGACAAGGACAGCTGTCTAGTGGTTCGGATGGGACGGAAAACCGAAGTCTCGTGTAAACATTGGTGTGCATGTTAAAGATTCCTCAGCAGTTAGAATTCAATATAAGAGTAGGTCGTAGCGCCGCTGCCCAAGCAAAATTTCCCTCATAGCACACTGTATGGTGTATGCCTGTCTTCATTAGCCCAGTCGGAGCAGAACAGTAGGACGTTAAACCCCATTTCATTTCATTTCGTATTATAGGTATTAGGACCATTTACTACCTCATGCAGGCGCTATAGCAGTGCACGTGATATGACAGTTGAGGGTGGGCTAAGGAGCCTTATTAGGGCAATTTGCAGCGGTCTAAGTGCTAACGGTTAAAGTAATCTTATGTTTAAGTAGATGTTTGTCTTTAGTTAGTTCTTTAGTAGGATACTATCGCCAGTACTTATATAATGGTGCACCGTATGCAAGTAGGCCTCAAGTTAGTTAACACCCTTGTAAATGTTAGACTCCAGAGATTGACATTTTGTTGATATGTTATTCTAGTGAGTCAGTGTGTACGTTATCTGTGTTTTAAGTTTAACATTGATATTGTGTTTACATATGTACACATGTAAATATTGTGGTGTTAAAAAAACTGCTGGGAATTCAGTTGAAAAGTTGTAAATCTTGTGCAATGTTTCCCTTCCTTGGCCTGAAAAATTGCTGGGGGTGGGGTGCATGGTCAGTGTCTTTCTGTATTTAAAATTCTGACATGCATCAAAAACTGCTTGGAATTCAGCTCAAAAGTTTAGGTTGCGCGAAGAGATGTAATCTTGTGCAGTGTTTCGGCTGGACATGAGCAAGTTTGGGGGAGGGGGGGGCACAAAGATAAGGGGATCCATATGTGGGGGTGGAATGGATCTGTTTAAAATTTGTACATGTAGCCTACCATCATGTACCAATGCATTGTCCCTCCCTAACCCCATCAGTATTACAAAAAAAAAGAGTAATGATTATTTCCATGATTTCTGATTGAAGTGAAAATAGTCACGTTAATAGGATTGGTGATGATCTTGCTATGGGTTGATGCACATCATTTTGATCAGAATGTCGATTAAGGCCTATATTAGTTTTATCAAATATTTATGTGAAAAGGGGTGGCTAACATCGTAAGTTATCATAACATCCATACTATAGAAAATCTGAAAATGTCGAGGGTCCTCCAACAGATTTGTAAAATTTGGTAACCACTGTATTAAAAATAAAATGAAATAAGGTTTTACAACGTACATATGTCCTACTCATTGGACTAGAAGACCTTGAACTCACCTATTCATCTCTTTATCCCTTTAATCTGAAACCCAATGAGGTGTGGTGATGGTAAGAGTGGGTAGATACTAAAATATCTTGATACAATAGTAGATATAGTACTTATCTCTGGTTACAACCATCTTTAACTACATCACATTATACTTAGTACTTGTAGTCCTTATGTCTGATTACAACCATTATACTTGATGAATATCAAATAATTTTTTTTCTTCTATTTCATTGTTAAGATTGCCATAGTGTTATATACCTATTGTATTTACATTTATGGCGTGACAAATATGAGCTTAAATAGATTACAGAAATTAATTGACATCTTTTAACTGTGAGCCAAATTAAAAGATAGACTGGAATAATTTTCTTAGTGTGCCGTTCAAAATTTCGCGCTGCACTTAGGAAGATCTCGCGTCACACCAGTTCAGAATCACTGGACTGGAATGTTGCCCCATGGTGTGTACTTTTATATACTGGCTGTTGGTTTAAAAGGCTACTGAAGGTTTATTCATAATGTACTTTAAAACCGCTGTTCGGCGATTGAGTGATTTTGAATACCATCAATATTGTGAGAACTGAATCTTTAAAAGGAGAGATAGAGAGAGAGAGAGAAATGGGGTTTAACGTCCACTCGACACAAACTAGGTCATTTCGGGACTAACATGGTTTAATTTTATTTCAATAATTCGCTTGCACGTAGGGGTCTTTAGCAGTGGGAGGAAACCGGAGGACCCGGGGAAAACCCATGAGGTTGGACAGGCAACCCTACTCCTTGTCACGTACAACCGGGGATTAAAAACCACGCCAGTTGACTCAATGACAGGCTTAATAATACAGCGCGCACATGCTAACCATTCAGCCATCCAACCCCCTGAATCTCTAAAAGGAATATCAGTCCAAAAATGATCAAATTCTGTAAATCAGCATTTACAAAGATATGATTAATTGAAAAAATTAGCAGCATTCGGTTTCCTCTGCTGCCAAATATTTTACAGAAATATCTGACTAATATACTTTACACTTTGCTTCTGTTATGTTTCTTTTTCTTGTCAGTAACACTGTTCTACCATACTTCATAGTTGAACTTTACCTCATTTTGAAACCTAATTATGAATGACAAGGTTTTCTTTCTAGTCCGATTCTGAGGTTGACATCATGAACTTCTGATATAAATCAGCCAGCACAACCAGGGTAAAATCTTTCAAGGGGCCTCTTTTTGATCCGATTGAATCCAACCTTGATATTTTTTTTTTTCTTAATCAAATATATTTTTTTTTCTTATTCAAATTTTAAATAATCAATCTGAGTAAATTTTAAATAATCAATCTGAGTAAAATTTAAATAATCAATCTGAGTAAATTTTAAAAATCAATCTGAGTAAATTTTAAATAATCAATCTGAGTAAATTTTAATAATCAATCTGAATAAAATTTAAATAATCAATCTGAGTAAAATTTTAATAATCAATCTGAGTAAATTTTAAATAATCAATCTGAGTAAAATTTAAATAATCAATCTGAGTAAATTTTAATAATCAATCTGAGTAAATTTTAAATAATCAATCTGAGTAAATTTTAATAATCAATCTGAATAAAATTTTAATAATCAATCTGAGTAAAATTTTAATAATCAATCTGAGTAAATTTTAAATAATCAATCTGAGTAAAATTTTAATAATCAATCTGAGTAAATTTTAGCGTGGGTGAAGTTGTGAAAAATTAGACACATGTACGGAGATCAGTTTGATTAAAATACAGATCTATATTTTATTTGTTTTTTTCTACTTTCAATGGCCTACACTACATGAAGATCTGACCAGATGTTTTGGGAGGTCACGTCAGAGGTCATACAAGTGTCTTTTGACCCTATGACATCAGACATTTGATTAACCAATCAGTATTGATGTTTCTAGTGGATTACCCACAGGTCCGTGCATCTCACTCTAAAACCTGCCGTAATAGATCGTTTCATTGGCTAATCCCTCACATCAACCAAAACGCGGCTTATATAACAACTCTTCCAGATCCTGGTGTAGTAAAGACAAGTAAAATAACATTTTTAACTATAAAAAACGATATGAAATAGGATCTGTGTTTTAAGCGTGGATTAAATTGTAAAAAATTTGATATTATCCAAAAAATACAAATGACATTTCATGATTTTGATATTAAAA